TGGGGCCAGCTGCTAAGGGGTCAGGGGCTGTGGCAGAACCTGCTGTGTGTAAGGCTGAGTTAGTCTGAGTGGGAAGACCTTCAGGGAGGGTTGTGTTTTCTAGTCAAGCCTGGCGGGTCCCTAGAATTCCAGTCTGTTAGAGAGCTCATCCAGCTAAACACCAAACCTTAGGGGCCTTCTCAGGAGGTACAGCTGAGTTTGGTAGGGGGAAGAAAGGAGCTCAGAATGGTTTCTGTTCCTTGTGGGGAGCTATAGGGACAGGCCAGGACCCAGGGGATAGGTGGACCATGCTAGTGACATGGTCTGGAGTCTAGGTTGGTGGGTGGTAGACGGGGTGCAGGAACTCAATGCCCTGGGGCATAGGGCAGTCCTTCTGGGCACTTGTGAACAGATCTAGTATTAAGATGATGGGAGAAACTTAGAAAAGCCCAGCCCTAGGCAGAGAATAAGGCAGGAGGAAGAAATAAAAGGGTATTCAGATAGAAAAGAGTATTCAGATCACATGATTTATAAATTGAGAAACCAAAAGGCTACACCAAAAAACTATTGAGTTGATAAGCAAATGTAGTAAGGCTACAGTAGGCCAAGTTCATAAAATCAACCTACAAAAACTAGTGGCTCTTGCCTGTAGTCCTAGCTACTTGGGAGGCTGAGATTGGGAGGATCTCCAGTCCACCTACTCTGGAGGAGAGACCCCCCATCTCCACAATCACCATAGCAAAATGCAGTGGGTATGTGGCTTAAGCAATAAAATGCCTGCTTTGCAAGCACAAAGTCCTGAGTTCAAACCCAAGTCCCACAAGCCCCCTCACCCAAAAATCAGTAGGTCTATATTTGGGTGTGGTAGCACACAGCTTCAGTCCCAGTTTCTGTGGAGGCTGTGATGGGAGGTCACTTGAGCCTACGACTTGGAGATCAGCTTGGGGAACATAGGGAGAACCCATCTCAAAAAACAAAACAAAACAAACAATGTTTTTACAAACAACAATAATAGATGGATCAAGAAGTAATTAAGAAAACAATCCCATTCACAATAACTACGAATAATAATAATAAAGAAAACACATTAAAAATAAACTGAACAAGAAATGTTCTCTGCAATGAAAATTACAAAATACCAATGAAAGAAGTTGAAAAGGACACAAAAATAATGAAAAGATAGCCCATGTTTGTGGATATCATTAAAATGTCCATACTACCCAAATAAATCTATAGCTTCATTTCAATTCCTATCAAAATACCAATGAGATTCTTCATAGAAATAGAAAAAAAATAGCCCTAAAATTTGGATGGAACCACAAAAGACCCCACAGAGCGAAAGTAGTCCTGGGAAGGAAGAAGAAAGTTGGAGGCATTTCAATACCTGGCTTCAAGCCATCCCACAAAGCTGTAGTAACATCATGGCATGACAGGAGCATCAACACAGACACATAGACCAGTGGAAGAGAACAGAGAGCCCAGAAGTGAATTCGCCATCTAAGGCCACTGAGTCTTGACAAACACCACGAGACTGACATTAGAGAAAGGAAAGTCCCATCAATAAATGGTGCTGGGAATCTGGATAGTCACATGCAGAAGAATGAAAGCAGACCCCTATCTTCCACCATGTAAAGACCCAACTCAAAATGGATCAAAGACCCAAAACCACGAAGCTACTGGAAGAAAACAAGGAAAACACTTTAGGCCATTGCACTGGGCAGTGATTTTTGGATATGGACACAAAAGGGATTACATCGAACTAGAAAACTGCTGCCAGCCAAGGACACAATCAACTTACAGAATGGGAGGAAATATTTGCAAAGTCCTCAGCAGACATGGGATTCATATCCAGAACACATGAGGAGCTGAAACAATGCAACAGAAAAATGGACAAATGGCCTGAAGAGATGTTTCTCAAAAGAAGATGTGCAAAAGGCTGAGAAGTACATAAAAAATGTTCAGTTCACTAATCATTATGAAAATGCAATCAAAACCACAAGGAGGGGCTGCAGGCATGGCTCAAGCAGTATAGCGCTTGCCTTGCATGCACGAAGCCTTGAATTCAACCTCTAGTATCTCGAAAAACAAAAACCACAGTGAGGTAACACCTCACCAACGTTAGAATGGCTATTATCAAAGACAAATTGGGAGCTGGTGACTTGTGCCTGTAATCCTAGCTACTTGGGAGCTACCTGGGAGGCTAGGATCAGGAGGATCTCTATTGAAGACCAGCCTGGGCAGAAAGTTCTAGAGAACCCATCCAACCAATAGCAGGACACGTCAGCACATCTATCATCCTAGGTACATGGGGAAGCACAAACAGGAGAATGGCCAGGCATAAAGCGAGACCCTAGCTCAAAAATAACCAACACAAGAAGGGCTGGGTGTGGCTCAGGTGGTAGAGAACCTGTCCAGCAAGTGTGAGGCCCCAAATTCAAACACACACACACACACACACATTTGGCAAGAATGTGTTGTAAAAGAAACTTCACGTTGTGGGAGATAAATTAGTATAGCCACTAGGGAAAATAGAAGAGTTTCCTCAAAACACATGTAAGCCAGCAACCCCACTACTGGGTTCACATCCTAAGAACTGAAATCAGTACAGGAACAGGCACTTGCTCTCCATGGTCACTGCAGCAATAAACAGGCTCATTACAGCAGTAGGACGGGGAATCTCCCAGTGTCCATCCATGGGTGAGTGGATAAAAATGTGGTGGACAGACACAGAGCAGCCATCAAAAAAAATAAGTCTGGTTGGCAGAGTGGCTCAAGTGGTAGAGTGCTTGCTTAACAAGCATGAAGCCCTGCCTTCAAACCCAAATGCAGCCAAAAAAAAAAAAAAAGACAAGTTCTGTCATTTATGGCACATGGATGGAACGGAGGACATTATGTTAAGTAAAATAAATCAGGTCCAGAAAGATAAATGTCACATGTTCTCACTCATGGGTAGAAGCTAAGACGTTGGTGTCATAGAGTGAATAGTTGTTGCCAGAGCCTGGGAAGGGTGTGGGGAAGAGAATAGAGAGAGGATGGGGTACAGGGGTGCACTTGGATAGAAGGAATCGCTGCTAATGTCTATAGTACAATAGTTACAACTATGGTTGGTAACAAAATATATTTCAAAATAGCAAGATGAAAGGGTTTAGAATGTTCCCGGCATAAAGAGATGATAAAGGTTGAGGTGACAAATGACAGACACAGCGCACTGTAAACATGCACTGATATGTCACACTGTGCCCCTTCCATATGTGCTATCACTATGTGCCAACTAAGAACAAATGAGTAGCAAGGGAGGTGGCTCATACCCGTAATCCCAGCTACCTGGGAGATGAAAATAAGGAGTACCCCCAGAAACCCAGGGAGGTGGTCAGTTTATCCTGTTTGAAATAAATAGCATCACTGAGGGCTGAGGCTTCAGGCCCAAGATCACAGAGTCCAGTTGGCATGGTGGCATATGCCTGAAGGATCCTGGTCTGAAGCCAGCCCTGGGCAAAATCACAACTCTTCCCAGAAAATAACTAAAGCAAGAAAGGGCAGGGAGCATGAGTCAAGTGGTAGAGTGCCTGCATAGCAAGCATGAGGTCCTGAGTTCAAATCCCAGTACCAACAACAAATTAATACATTTGTAAAATAAAATAAGGTATGAGCATATCAGGAAAAAGAAAAAAAAAGAAGAAACCTGGCATGTAGCTCAGTAGTAGAGTGCCTGCCTGGCATGACCAAGGCCCTGGGTTCGACCTTCAGAAATGCTAAATAAATAATAAATAAATGAAAAGAAAAAGAAAGGAGAACAGAAGCCAGACATGGTAGTTTGTGCCTGAGGCCACAGACCCACAGATAGTTGGTAGGCTGAGAGAGAAAAGAAAAGCCAGCCGCCTCCTGTGAGATGGCCACAGGAAACACACTCCAGGTTAGGGTCCAGCCAGGTCTACTCCTGCCAAGGCACTCCACAACCAATTTCTGTGAGTTCCTTAGAACCCTTCGGACCTCAGGGACTTCCACTGCCATGACCACTTTCCACTGGGTCCTCTCGTCTGTCCACCCCTTCCCCTCTCCCCTCCTCCTCTTTTTCCATGACCTTTCATGCCCAGCTGAGAATCTAGAGCCCTAAGCCTCAGCCTCAGCAAAGGCCCCTAACCCTCCCTGCTGGGAGCACCAGCTTCCACCTCCCAGACCTGGTCCCCGGGAGCCCCCGGGAGCCTTAAGTGTGGTTGGATGCCATCCTCTGCCTGTCTCTGGGTGGGGGCACCCCTGCGCCCCCTCCGCACCTCTCAGCAGCTGTGCCCTACGGGCAAAGTAGCTTTGGGAGTCCTGGGTGGTTGGCCATCAGCCCTCCTAGAGGTCACGTTAACCTTGTGGTGAGGGGAGAGGGAGGGAGGGCGCTGGTTGGCGGAGAGCAAGCACACCTGTCCAGGTGCATAAGAGCTGCAAACAAAGAGGCTCTGTTGAAGGAAGGCCAGTCAGAACCTCAGCAGGACAGACTGACAGGTAAGGACGTTGGGTGCTCAGAGGGGCCGCCTGGGTATGAGGATGGGAGGGCAGGAGCTGCACCTCACTTTCACTTCCAAGGGTCTCCTTCTGGGCCTGGGGTTTTCCTACCTGCTGTGGCCTGCACTGAGGGGCAGGGGTGTTCAGGGATGGCCACAAGGACCCCACAGAGACAGTGCCACCCTGGACAAAGTGATGACTACGCAGTAGAAGCAGGTTAGTGTCCCAGAAGGGCAACAGCACGGCAGGGGCCATGGCAAGGGAGGGGCTCTGTTGCTTGACATGGAAGAAACACCTAGTAACACGCACCCCACACAGGACACACACACGCGCTTCCTTGGTGACAGTCTCTGTGAAGAGGACACACCAGGCTTCTGTCCCCTCTAACTACGTGCTCACAGGCACCCACACAGAGAAGCACACGGTCTTTCCTTTCTGTTTGGGAGGTAGAGTCTGGAAGAGTCTAGAGGGTGGGGTCTGGGTGTTAAGTGACACAAGGGTCCGCCATCTGTTCCCTCATCAGAAAACCCATGGAGGAGCTGGTGGGGCTGCGTGAGGGCTCCTTGGGGAGGCCTGTGACTCTGCAGGAGCTGTGGGGCCCGTGTCCACGTGTCCGTCAAGGCATCCGATGTGAGAGTTGGACCCCTTCCTCCCCATGGAAGATCCCTGGTGACATCACCCCTGCCACGCATCCCCCATCCCCAAGCCCAAGAGCCCCCCTCCACCTGTCCTCTGGTCCCAGATAAATTCTTCCAGAAACCTGGGTTCAGGGAGGGAAGGAGCTGTCTACTTCCCCTCTGCCTGTGGGTCAGGTGAGCCAGACATCAGCCCTTGGCCTTTGGGATTCACAGCACAAGGCCTGGTCACTGTGTCCACTCTCTGCTCACCTGTGCCAGTGGGGAGCTGGAGGGCCAGCTGCTGGGAAGCAGGTGCTACTGAAAGAGTCTGGGGAGCTGAGGACTTGGCATGTGTTTTTGGAGCCTCATTTTCACTATTTATTTGAGAACTAGAGACAGGGACAAAGAAGGCAGAGATCCCAGAAAGAGGAAAAGTGCAGTCCCAGGGACTGGTTCCCACAGCCAGAGAGAGCCAAGCTTCCAGGCTGGGCTGGCAGCCAGTGGTCAGGGGCATCGCTGAGACCCAGAGGACAGATGGTGCCACAGTCCCTGGGATGATGAGGGACCCTTGCTGCCCCTCGAGGTTTTGATGTCCCGGCCTCTGCTGAGATTCTCACTAGAGCTGTGGCTGCCAGCCTTCTCCTCATTGCTCTGCCTCTGCACCGTACTTCCATAAGTCCCCAGTGTAGCAGGGGTGGGAGGTCAGATAGGCCAAGACTTTTTGGTGAAGGCCACAGGCCTGGCTCTCATTAGGTCACCACCTTCACCTGCCAAATGCCCTGTAGTGCCCCTTGTGAGAGGCAGAGCTTCCTCGTGACCCTGGACTCCAGCCCTGTCCTCTCTACCACCACCCCGCCCAACCTCCCTGCCCAGACCCCAGTAGCCATCCACCCCACCCTAGCTGTGCCCCAATGGCCTGCCAGGTGGCCTGGAGTGGCTGAAGCAGAAGCTGTTCCGTGTGGGTGAGGACTGGTACTTCCTGATGACCCTCGGGGTGCTCATGGCCCTCATCAGCTTCGCCATGAACTTTGCCATCAGCCGAGTGGTCAGAGGTAAGCCCTGCCCGGCATGCATGCCTGCCCTGGCCAAGGGGTTTCTGCATGCCCTTGAGATGCCTCATTGTCAGGACAGTGGGGTGGAGATAGGGCTCAGAGCCTGGAGCTCATCCTGGCTTCACTCCTGACTTGCTCTGTGACCCTGGACGGGCTGTGGCCTCTCTCCTGGCCTTGGCCACCTCATCTGCACAGTGAGAAAGAGTGAGCTGGATGCTCCTAGCAGCCCTTCTCCCTCGGCACTGAGCCCTCTCTTCACAACACCCTGTTCCTTCCCTCCCTCCTGGCTCCCAGTTAAGTGACCCTTGACTACAGGCACAGAGCTTTCTTCCCATCCTTAGCAGGCTCCACCCTGAGGCTTCCCTGGAAGAGGGAGTGGGCAGGAAGGACCTGAGACCCTTCTCTGGACACTCAGCTGCCATAGTGAGGACCTACAGGGACTCCACACTCTGTGTCATTCAGTCCTCAATAAGTCTGCAGGACCCTGTGAAGAAGGCACCATCACCAGCCCATGGTGTAGATGGGGAAACTGAGGCTTCTCTGAGCCTCAATCACTTGCCCATAGTCAGTCAGGCAGGAAGTAGCCAAGCTGGGACAAGGGCCCAGGGTCCTATTCCAGTTTCCTCTTGGGGCTCTGCCACTCCCTGGGTGGTATTGGGCCTCCATTCCTGGTCAGTCAGTGGACATCACAGCATGTGCCCCCAAGGGCTGCAGAGGCTCTGGGTGGCTCCCTGATGGCTGGCCTTCCCCAGCACACAAGTGGCTATATGGGGAGCTCGGGGACAGCCACCTGCTCCGGTATCTTTCCTGGACCGTGTACCCGGTGGCCCTCCTGTCCTTCTCCTCGGGCTTCTCCCAGAGCATCACGCCCTTCTCTGGAGGTAAGTCCTTGGTTGTGACCTTGCCACTGGCCAGTGTATCTTTCACTGTAGTCCCCACTGTCACAAATCTTTTCAATGGCGTGGAGCTTCTGAGGGGACAGAGAGGAGCAGTAGCCCAATTTCACAGCCAGAGCAGCCAGCTGCAAAGAATAGTACCATTTCCCTGAAGTCCCACAGTTAGAGGGCAGAGGTGGACTCCTGGGTGACTGGGGCTCAGGAGCTTCCTCTGGTTCCTCTGGGCAGGGATGGAGGATTGGTGGCAGGGTGTTCTGCAGAGTGAGGTCAATGGCTAGTGCAGGGAGGGGCTGAAGGAGTGTCCAGCTCCCCCGCCTTCTATGCCACCTTCAGCTCTAGGCCAGTCAGGGTGCTCCTGGGTGCCCCCAGTGGTGGCCTGACATTCCACCCTGGGTCCTCTATCCCTGCCATCATGGTCTTCCAGTCTAAGTAGAAAGAACATAAACAACTCCCATCCCCACTCTGACCTTCAAGATTCTTCTGTGAACTGAGGTCAGGAGTTTTCCCCACATAGGGTATGGGGTTCTCCAGCAGATAGAATGCTGCTGCCATTGAGCAGGCACTGTGTGCAGGGGCTGTGTGTGCAGAGACCTAATCTAGACTTTGTCCCTCTCCTGCCCACCTGGGCAAGGCTCTGGAGTCCCCGAGCTGAAGACCATCTTGGCAGGTGTGGTCTTGGAGGACTACCTGGACATCAGGAACTTTGGGGCCAAGGTGGTTGGCCTGTCCTGCACACTGGCCTCAGGCAGTACCATCTTCCTAGGCAAAGTGGTATGGGCAAGTGAGAGTTCCTGTCCTCCCCCTCTGCCTTCCCCATCCCCCACCACAGCCTGTCCTGCCAGGGGAGCTCAGTCTTAGAGCACAGCCAGCTCCCTAGGTGTGACCAAAGCCATCTGTGGATGGCCTCCGGGCATTATGAGGGTGTGAGTGAGGAAGCCATGCTGTCTCTGGGTCAGGCTTGTGGTTCCTGACTCCTGGGTCTCTAAGAGGAAGAGGTAGAAGGAGGAGGAGAAGGAGGTGGGGGATAACGGGAAAGAGGATGAGGTTCAAGAGCCAGCCTCCCCAGGGCACAGGCCATCTGCCCTGCCCAACACCTCACCCTGCAGGGCCCCTTTGTTCACCTGAGTGCGATGATTGCTGCCTACCTGGGCCAGGTGCGCACCAGGACCATCGGGGAATCTGAGGTGAGGAGCTCAGGTAGGGATCCTCTTGGAGGAATGGGAGAGAGTGGAGGGAAATGAGGGAGGTGATTGGTTCTGAGCCCAGGACCCTGATCCCCCAGAACAAGAGGAAACAAAATGAAATGCTGGTGGCAGGGGCTGCTGTGGGCGTGGCTACAGTCTTTGCAGCCCCATTTAGCGGTGAGACACTCCTTGCCTCCCCTGTACTCTAGGGTTCCCCCATCCCAGCCCCTGGACCTGCTGGCTTGGCCAGACCAAACAGGTAGATCTGGAGCCCAGTGAAGAGGCCTAGAGACAGGGGCCCTCTGTAATTCTCACTGCAGTCTTTCCCTGGGTACAACCATCCCAGGGTACGATGGAGTGTCCACTCGCTCTTGGCCTCCCCTGGACACATATGGGTTTGGAAGCCAGTCTGCTGGGTGGCCCTGGCCCAACAAATTCATTTCTCTATGCCTGTTTTCCTCAACTGTAAAAAAAAGGGGACCATCCTCCACCCAAGGTGAGAGTGGAAACACACAGGCATGCCAGGGCTGCCCCTTGGCCCGGTCCCAGGTCAACAAGTCCTCCCTATCCAGTTCTCAGGCCCTGACTTCTTTTCCTTCAGCTCAGGACAAAGGTGATAGGAGGTCCTGGCTGCCCAGGCTGCAGGACCGCAGGTCAAAAGGGTCAGGGAGAGCCTGACACCCACGTTCTGAAAATGTGGGGTCAGGTCTTCCTGAGTTTAGTGTCCCCCCAGGCGTCCTATTCAGCATTGAGGTCATGTCCTCCCACTTCACCATATGGGATTACTGGAGGGGCTTCTTCGCTGCCACCTGTGGGGCTTTTGTGTTCCGCCTCCTGGCTGTGTTCAACAGTGAGCAAGGTGAGTGCCCAGTTGCCCACTCCCTGTCTCCTTTTTCCTCCTTTCCTTCCCTGACTCTGTCCCTTCTACTTTCCCCCTTCCACTTCTTCCCCTTTTTCTCATTCTTCTCTTTCTAGAATGACAGAGGGTCTAACCTGTGCTGGGCAGGGTGGACATCAGTAGAGGGCTGAGGCTGGCAGGGACTCAGGAGGTGAGGCCTGGCAAGCCATGGACACATGGGATGGGCCTTGCTCCACCTCCAGCCCTGCCTGTTATTCTGGGACCAGACTTAGGTGGGGAGGGATGTGACCTCAAACCCCACTCTTCTTCCCCAGAGACCATCACGTCCATCTACAAGACCAGCTTCCGTGTGGACGTGCCCTTTGACCTACCTGAGATCTTCTTCTTTGTGGTCCTAGGGTGAGTGGACCTTAGACCTGAGAACTCAGCTAGGGTCTCCTCCAGGCCCAACCTGGGGAACTCTGGAGTCACCTACCTTCGTCCCCAGGGTCATTTGTGGTGTCCTGAGTTGTGCTTACCTCTTCTGCCAGCGGACCTTCCTTGGCTTCGTCAAGAACAACTGGTTCACCTCCAAACTGCTGGCCACCAGGTGGGCCAGGGGCTGGGCTGTGCCCTCAGGTAGCCCCCTAAACCGAACTTATACAGAAAGCCCCACTCCATACCTGAACTCCTGTCCTCCCATGGAACCTCCAAACCCCTCTGCATTTACAGAACTCTATTCCTTCTCTAACACTCCACCAGTCTCCACATCCACTGACCCTCCTACTGCAACTCTCCCCTCTTAGGATCCAGACCCCTCACTAGATCCCTGCTTCCTCTCCTCCACAAGACTGCTCTGACCCCTGCCCTTGGCTTTCCTCACCCCACCACCTCCCCCTGCCCTATGCCAGTGAGTAAGAGCTCCTCCCTTTCCTGGCCCGGTGTGGCCTGGCTTTGTCCTTTCCCCCAACTGCCTCTGTCCTAACCTTCTCCAGCTGAGACCTTTATCATCCCAGGTCTCCTGGGCCCACTCCACCTGTTTCTTCCCTGGAGGGGGGCTGGCCTGACACCTGCTCCTGATCTTTCCTCCTTGCTAGTTCTTTCCCCTGTCAGTCCTGGCCTGCCAGGGCCTGGGTCTGTCAGTCCTGGACCTGGTCCTGGGTGAGGAGCCCCTGTCTCCCCACATTGTGGGGGAAGAATGGAACCTATATCCAGCTCCTCTCCCCCCACAGCAAGCCTGTGTACTCTGCCCTGGCAGCCCTGGTTCTGGCGACCATCACCTACCCTCCTGGCCTGGGCCGCTTCATGGCCTCTCGGGTAAGGAGCTGAGCTGGGGTGGGGGAGCAGGAAGCCCCCGTGTGTTGCCCCCTTTCTGGGTATTATTTCAGTTCCCCACTTCCCAAAGGAGAGGCCTGATATCATTTTGAGAAAGAGGAGACCATACATAACTCAGGGAGACCAGAGCCATCTTTGGGTTCTCCACTGGGACACGGCACAGTGGGAGTTGGGGCTCAGTTGGGTGGTGAGGTGGCTGGGGACATGCTGAACTGTCACTGCCCCTGTCCAGTTGTCCATGAAGGAGCATTTGGACTCGCTGTTTGACAACAACTCGTGGGCACTGATGTCCCGGAACTCGTCCCCACCCTGGCCAGCCGAGCTCGACCCCCAGAACCTGTGGTTTGAATGGTATCACCCGCAGTTCACCATCTTTGGAACGCTGGCCTTCTTTCTGGTTATGAAGGTGGGTCCCCAGGTGTGATCAGAGTCAAGCCAGCTCTGGGAGAGATGGGGCTGCCTACACGGCTGGAACCTGGAGCCTCCTCTTAAACCAGATCCCAGAAATGCCCACTGTGCTCCTGGGTAAATCACTTCAGCCCTCTGAGCCTAGGACCCGCCCCCCCCTCCTCCTGTGATGAGGCTTGCTATCTTGCACAGACTGATTTGGAACTTGTGATTCTCCTGCCTCACTTCCTCACTTCCGTGATTACACACAGAGCCATCACACCTGGCTTCCTTCTTTAAGATGGGCTAGAGGCTGTCATTACCTAAAAAGCAGGCTGAGAGTGAAGAAAGGAACGAAGCTGGCGTGTGGCCTGCACACCTTGGGCACCTTCTCAGGCTGCAGTTCCCTCCCCTGGTTGAATTGTCCCTAATGCCAGACACTGCCGTGGGCATAGGCCTGGACACCCTTTTTTCTAGGAACCTCCTCACCCCTGTCTTGTGCCTCCCTTGCCCTCACCTTGCCCACTTGTCAGTAACTTCTGCCCTCTGGTGCCCCCCCACCCACTCCACAGTTCTGGATGCTGATTGTGGCCACCACCATCCCCATACCTGCTGGGTACTTCATGCCCTTATTCATCTATGGTGAGTCTGGGGTCCTGAGGCTCTGAGAGGTTCAGGAGCATTAAGCAGGGCCGTGGCTCCCTCGTTGCTGGCTCTTAGCAAGGTCTTTAGGGAAGAGGGCGCAGGGCTGGGTCAGCATAACTGCCCTCTTCACCCTGAGTCTGTGGCAGGGGCAGCCATCGGGCGCCTCTTGGGGGAGGCTCTCTCTTTCATCTTCCCTGAGGGCATCGTGGCTGGAGGTGTGGTCAACCCCATCATGCCTGGGGGGTATGCTCTGGCAGGTGAGTGGGGCTGGACCTGGTGGGGTGGCCAGATTTATGGGGCTGGGCTACAGCTGGAGAATGGGTGGTTCAGGAGGACTCCCAGTGGTCACTGAGCTGCCCAATTTGTCCCCCACCCCCATTCGGGCCTGTCCCCTCCCTGAGCCCTGCCATCCCCTGGGTCTCCCTAACTCTCTTGGTTCCTGTCTGTCCTCCATGCACATCCCCCTCCCAATCCCTCTCCTCTCACCATACCCAGGCTTTGGGCATTTCCTGCAGTGGCCATCAAGTGCCCTCTGGACGCAAACCCAGCCACGGTCACGCCTTTCCCTCCAGGTGAGCCTGGGCCCTGGCCTGAGCTGCCTTGCCCTGGTCTGCTTCCAGGGGCTGCGGCCTTCTCTGGGGCGGTGACCCACACCATCTCCACGGCACTGCTGGCCTTTGAGGTGACCGGCCAGATTGTACACGCACTGCCTGTGCTGATGGCGGTGCTGGTGGCCAATGCCATCACCCAGAGCTGCCAGCCCTCTTTCTATGATGGTACCATCATTGTCAAGAAACTGCCCTACCTGCCATGGATTCGGGGTCGCAAGATCGGGTGAGTGGGCCGCCTGGGCCTGGCTGATGGGGTGATGGTGTCCTGGGTGGACTGGGGTGGAAGGTCCCCCAAGAAATGCTACTGTGAATGACCTTGGACATGGATGTAGGAGGGGCCTCACAGTTGCCCACTGGTCTGATTTCCTCAGTGCCCATGCACTAGGTGAGGAACCTGGGGCCCAGGCAGGGACCAGGTCACATGGAGAGTGAGCACCACTCCCCCGAGGTCCCCGCTTGTCCCACTCCTGCTCTGCTGCCCTTGCTGGGTAGCTGGGAGCTGGTATGGAAATGGGCTTTGAGGTCCTCACTCATCCAGACAGCACCCCAGCAGTTTCTGTCCCCAGCAGGTGCTCAGAGGTTCTGAGGTCCTGGGTCCGAGTCCATCCTCAAATGCATGCGAGCTCCTGCTTGCTCCAAACCTGTTTCCTCATGTGCAAGATGGGTGTGGTTAATCCTGGACTTCTAAAACTTTAAAGTGTGAGGGGTGGGGTGGGGGTGGGGCTTTTTACCATGTAGCTTGCTTTTCAAGTAAATTCTCCAGGAAGGGCTGCTGGATGAAACAGACCAAACTGGAACTGGTCTGGGGACTCTGGGATCCCAGGGGCTGGAGGGTTTAAACTGGGACTACTAGTGACACAGTCTCCAGGTTCCTTCCCACCGTGGGGTCCTAGGACTTGCTTATTCTAGGACCCTCTCAGTCTCCATCTCCACACGATAGCCTCGAATCCTGTCCCAGCCAGTCTCCCCCGAGTCCCCCTGCCTCATCCTGGGGTGACATCCCCTAGCCCAAGACCTGTTGGGAGCCTCCCTCTGCCATAGCTCCCACCCTGTGACTGTGGGGCACTTCATGAACTCCACCATCACCACGCTGGCCAAGGACACCCCGCTGGAGCAGGTGGTCAAGGTCGTGACCTCCACTGATGTGGCCCAGTACCCCCTGGTGGAGAGCACAGGTGCCCAGCAGGAAGGGGGTGGTGGCTGCTAGGGAGGTGGGTTGGTGGGAAGTGGGGTGTCTTCCTCTAAGGCCTGAGTGTCAGGGCAGAAGGGGTAAGAGGAGAATTGCACCTGCACCTGAATCCATGCTCTGTGGCTTAGCCGCTGTGTGACCTTGGGCAAGTCACTTCACTGCTCTGAGCTTCAGTTTCTTCATGGGTGAAATGGACATGATAACCACTCCCTCTGGGGTGACTGACACCTTCAAATGAGAGATGAGAGGGTGCTTATTCACCCCATGAAATGAGAGGGTCCTTCTTCGCCCCATGAATGGCTGTTCCTTCTAGGAACAAAGCCATCTCAGTTTCTAACCTCCACCTAAAAATCAGGTAGCCTCAGGAAGGACTATTAGCCCGTCTGTGCCTCTGAGCCTCAGTTATCTCATCTGTAAATTGGGTGATGATGGCTCTTACTAACTATAGGCTGCCAAGATTCCTAGAAGCCATGAGCACATCCAGCACCATGGTGGGTGCTCAGCAAATGGGAGTTCCTTCTTCATAACACACCCTCCCTCTGCACCTGCTAGAGTCTCAGATCCTAGTGGGCACCGTGGGAAGAGCCCAGCTGGTGCAGGCCCTCCAGGCTGAGCCCGCTTGCTGGGCTGCAGGTCAACAGGTGGGTCCCTGGGAGGGTGTTTGGCTGGAATGCGGGAGGTCAGTAGGGCTGTGAGGAGAGGACCAGCTGATCTGTGGGAGAGGTAGTTTGAGAGTATACCCTGCAGTGGGGAGGCCGACCCAGGCCTCCAATGTCCTTCCTGCATTCTCAGCGCTGTCTCCAGGACATCTTGGCTGGGGGCTATCTCATGGAGCCAGTGACCCTGCAGCTGTCCCCAGAGACCTCCTTGCACCAGGTAGGGGAGAACTGGAGAAGGCAGGCGGACAGGGACACAGGGGTGCAGGGAGGAGCCCGATGGAGGAGCTCAGGTCCTCCCGAGCTGAGCTGAGGTACATCCACTCCCCACCCCTGGCAGCTCCTTCCTGGACACCTCTTACTGCCAGGCTCATGTCAGGGTCACGAGGAGAGACCAGGGAAGGGGGAGTGTGGGGAAACACCGACTCCAGGTGCGTCACAGGGAGCACGCATGGATCAATGTTAGATAGATCTGCCACATTTCCTCCTGTGTTCTTCAGCAAATTATTTAATCACTAAGGAGACAGTCAGCACATGGGGTGGCATGGGACAGAAGCAGCCATGGCCCTCACCTCTCTATAGGGGGAGATGTCTGTGATGCTGGGTAGTGGTGGCTAAAGGCCATCTAAAGCCTGGTCCAGCTGCTTGTGTGGACTCTGGCCACCTCTAGTGGTAATTCTGGACATCACAGGCTAGGTCCCTGGCTTCCTGCCTTACCTTAAGGACAGGATGGGTGGGGGTAAGGAGGAGTTCCGACTTCAAGGTGGGTTACTGGGCTAGCAGGGTGCTTCCTGCCCCAGCATTTCGTACAAATCCTCCTGCAGACACACAACCTGTTTGAGCTGTTGAACCTTCAGTTGCTCTTCGTGACGTCGCGGGGCAGAGCTGTGGGCTTTGTGTCCTGGGTGGAGGTACCAGGGTCTTTGAGGGTGGGGTAAAACAGAGGAGGTGGGGAGCACCAACATCCTCTCATTCAAAGCTTTGGGAGCTTCATAAGACTCCAACGAGCTCTGCTTCTGGCCGAGAATGGCCACTGGGCCTGGAAACCTTCTCTGTGTTCAGTGACCTCAGCCATGCAATGGGGAGGCACCGGCTCCAACATCACCCCAGAATCCACCTTAGGAGAGCTGCTAGTGCCATAGCCCACACTTGCCACCTCCTTTAATCCTCCCCGCTCCCCGACCCCTTGTTCTCTATTGCAGCTGGAGAAGGCAATTTCCACCCTGACCGATCCACCGGCCTCAAAGTGAGCCAGGCTGGTCAGCCGGAGCAGGGCACCCAGATGCCTGGTGCCTGAGATTGGGCAGAAACCCCACCTCTCTTCCCATCACTACCCAGTCCCCTCCAGCAGCTCAACTCCATGGCAGAGCAGGCAAGTCTCTAGCCTGGGAGAGGTTCCACTACGGGAGATGACAGCTCCTAGCTGGAAGGACAAATCCCACCGTGGATGGAGCAGAGTGTGAGATGGCAGAGAACTCATGGGGGGTTGGTGCTCAGTGAGTGATGAGCAATTCATGGTGAAGACTGGTGTGCACCATCACCAAGGGTGGCCCTTGTGCCTTCCTGTGGTTGTCTGTTCTCAACCAAAAGCCCTGAGGAAAATAAAGCTGACGCCCAGAGCTGCTGTTCACCCTGCTCTCTTCTGAGCTGTGCATTTGGTCCCCTGGCTTTTCACCCATGAGTTCTTGGATTGCTGGTGTCCACATGGGCATTGCAGGCCTGGGCCCCTTGTTTCCTCCTCAGTCCCCATTCCTTGGCAGGGAGTTGTGAGGGAAAGAGGGTCCCCATCAGGCCTTCTGATGCGTGTCCTCATGTGTAACAGCACCCTGTGGCACAGTTCCTGCCACCTAGCCCTATTCGCCTTGGTTGATACACAGTTGATAAGGTGGGGTCCCTCAGTTGTCTACTTAGGGATTCCACAGGCCCTGGACATCCTCCATGCACCCTCCATGGGGACATTGGGGTAGAAGCCCTCCCTCACCCTTCCAGATACCTTCCTCATTGTGATCAGGTCAAGTTCGTTCAGGGTTAATCGACCACTTTAATGTCACCAGAGAAATTTGAGGGGGATGGCAGGGATACAAGGAGAGGGAGCAGGCTTCCTGGGGTGGGGAGCAGAGGGTCACAAAGGAGGCAGGTGAGAGGGTGTGTGACGGACAGTCCCTCCAGAGACTGAAGAGGGTTGAGGAGTGGCTCTCAGCTACCCAAAGATGTGGCACCACTTTCCATAGGGCAGGTTCACAAGGGAAGTGAGTTGGGGTTAAGCCCAGACTCAAGGCTGAGTTCCCAGACCCCACTCTAAGTGGTTCTCCAGATCCTTCCATGGGTGTCTGCCTGGGGACATGGCTGTCAATTCCCTTGGGACCAACTGTGGTATCTGCTGAGAGTCCTTGAGCTTGCTAAGGGCAGAAACCCTGGAGGGGAAGGTGCCCACCTGAGACGAGTACAGAGAGAATGGTGATTATGGCTCTCAGCGCTGGTGGCCAGTCCACAGAGGCACAGAGTGGTCCACAGGACAAAGCTGACCCTATCCTTGCTGCACCCCACTCCATGCCTGGCCCGAGGAGTCAAGAGATGCTTAGCAGTGGACTCCAGGGTCCTATTATGCATGAGCTCCACCAGCCCAAGTGGTGATATGAGCAGGTGCTGGCCCGGCCCAGCCCAGCCTCAGTTATAGAACACCTCATCCTCCTCCTCTGAGAGCGAGCCACTGTCCACCGAGGGCAGGGAGCCTTGTAGGTGCACCCCACCTTCAGATCCAGGACCCCCTGGCAGCCGTCGTCGATGCTGCTGTGCAGGGCTGGGTGGTTGGGGATCAGCAGCTGTGATGGGGGGTTCCTCAGGTGAGGGCCAGCCGTCAGGGGAGAGGCCAGGGGAGGAGAAGGCCAAGAGACTGTCGTCCTGCGAGGGGCCACTCAGAAGGCTGTCCTGAAGGTAGATGCTCTCCAGGTCTGGAAAAGCCAAACAGGGGTGTGGGGGAAGGAAGGAGTCCTGGAGCTTGCTTCTCACTCTCCCTAGTGTGGGAGGCAGGGCAAGTGACAGAAGACCTTCCTCCAGGTCCTGCTATGCCACTGCTGAGCTGAGTGACCCAGGGCAAATCCTTGAACCTCTGAGTCTAGTTTCCTCCCTGTGCAGGGAGCAAGTAGTTAAGAGCAGGTTCTGAAGCACTTTTGTGCTCTAAGAATTGAATCAACCTTTGCTCCTCTCAGTCCTCTGTCCCCTCCCCTCCTGATCAGTGGGAGCATCAATCAAGTGAGGAAATATAATACAGGTTTCCCCAGGACCTAGGCTCATGAAGCCTCCACAGTAACTTAGGGTTCTAAAAAGTGTTTGGTTGCACCTGGTGGTGAGTTCCAGGCCCTGGCTCTGACACCTCTAGCTGTGAATCAGGAGTGAGTTTCTGAACCTCTTAGTGTTTCCGTTTCCTGATGTGTAAAATGAGGACAACAGGACTTGCTTCCTGAGGATGTCATGAGGATTCAGGGAAATGATACACACTTGCAATGCCAGAGAACCTTGAGAAGGGCAGAAAGAGTACAAGCAAGGGAAATGGGCTCCCTGGGATGGGGAGCAGGGGGTCTCAAAGGAAGCAGGTGGAAGGGTAAGGGACAGACAGACCCTCTAGGGACTGAAGAAGGCTGAAGAGTGGCTCTGATGTCTAGAAGCAGTCAGTTCATGTCATTCATGATTACTGACTCCTGCCCAGAGCAACAGACAGGGCAAGGTCCACCAACCCCATTTCACAGAAGAAACTGAGGCTGGGAAGGCAGGGGCTGGCCTGAGTTGCACCACACTGCATCTGGTGCACAGCAGGCACCCAGCCTCAGCTCCACTCCACCCACCCCTCCCTATTGTCCCCTGGCTGTACCCTGCAGCTGGAGGGCGTCCAGGGTGCTGTTTTCAAGGTGCAGCTCTTCATCATCCAGTGAGGACCAGGCGCTCAGAGTGGCTTCCGTGATAGCAAACTGCTCTGCAACCCCTGGGGGACAGTGAAACCTGGTTCAGTGGGGACCCAGGCAAAGTAGCGGGGAGGGTCTCCATGCCAAGCGGGCCTCTCTGAGGGCCCATGTGTGATCAAGGAACCCATGAAATACTCTTTCCATCCCAGGCCATTGTTTTCCCCGCCTAGACGATGCCTATGGTGTGATCTGGTTTCAAGGACCCAGCTTCACCCCTGCAGAGCCCGGCCTGTGCCCTCCCTGCCCCTACTGACCTGCAGCAAAGCGAGCCTCACACAGCTCATCCGGGAGGCAGCAGTAATGCTCGTCCTCGGCAGGGGACAGCTCCCAGCCTGACCGCTGGGCACTCCAGCCCTTCCACTCGATGAGGTGGGCCACTCGGCCACGGGCCATGGCCGTGGGCTTTGTGATGTGGTCCTTGATGCTCTGCACCACCCCTGGGGGCACGGAGGACTATGGGTGACTGTCCCAGCACAAAGCCCAGATGAGCGCTCCCCCTGGGACCCTCAGACCCCCACACCTCAGCCCACCCGATGGTCAGTACCCCACACCCACATAACCACGCAATAGCCCCAAGGACTGAATACCATGTACCCCCCTTTGCCACCCTCTACACAGCATCCTGCACCTGTCCATGCCCTCCCCCCACAATGCCTCACCTCGCTGTACCCATGCCCTGCCCTGGGCACTTCCCAAGTTTTATGGCCCCACTTCCCTTAGAGGTCCCACCCGCTCACGTGCCCACTCTCTCCAATGTCCCACTCCCAGGAACATTCCTGCCCACCGATGCTTCCCCTTACTTCCTTTCAAGTTTGGATGCTGTCCTTAAAGCAATGCGGAGCCACAGCAGGATAAGAAGCAAGACAGTGACAGGCTAGACCTGCTGTTTAGGAAGAGATCCCAATTGGAGGATTAGGGGTCCTCCATTAGGGGCAATTCAGGGACACAGGAAGAGACAGGGCAAGAGCTGGACAGAAGAAGAGGAAGTGGTAGAGGTTCTTAGGAGTTGACCATCATCTTAGGAGATGATGGAGAGGGGTTGGCAGGAATGGTTCAGCCTCTCCATTAACCAAAGCTGAGAACACAGATCTGGGCATCCCTGGTGCCCCTAGCTACCAAGGCCCATGGCCAGGAGGAATGGCAATACTAAAGAAAGATAAGGTGTCCACAAGGAAAGAGAGCCAGGGAACATGGCAGGGAGGGAGGTAAGGGAGAAAGGAGCAGCTACACACCCAAGTTGGGGTGTTGGCAATCAGAGGATTTTTGGAGGAGGTGATGTTTCACAGGACCTCGGAGTTGGAGAGGTGACAGGCAGCACAGGCCAATGTGGGGAGGGAGGCAGGTGGGCCCTCTGGGAATATGGAGGGATTTGGTGCAATGGGGGCCTGAGGTGGGTGGGGCAAAGCTGTGAGAAGAAGTTGATGAGCTGGGGTGGCCCAGAAGGCCAGACTTTGGGCCACCGGAGCACAGGCACACAGTGGCTTATGTGCTAATCCCCCAGGGACCTCTGATATGCTGTTCTGCCCCATCTGCACCTTCTCTAGGGAACTGCCCCAGCTTTGGGCACTACCTCACCAGAGATGTCCTCGAACTGGCAGAGTCCTCCCCAAGAGCAGCTGAAGACTGAACAACAGGGGAATGTCAAGTCCAGCTACCTGACCTCAAAGTGTCATTGATTCCTCAGGCCACTGCCCACTGCAGAGCCTTCACTGGTTGGTACTAGGAGACTGTCCTACAACCGTGTCTTGGCTGAACAGCATCCCTAGCCCCACTCTGCTTCTCTAGCTCCCTGGGGGACCCTCAAGAGAGCAATCCCTCCATGCACAGTTCCCACCTCAGGCTCTGCTTCTAGACAACAGGTTACAAGGTGACGTGGGTGGCAGAGAGGCAGGGAAACCATGCAGACAGACATCCAAAAATTCCCACCATTCTCTCAGAGTTTAAGAACCCAGCAATTTAACCGCTTGGAGTAAGAACTGGAGACACCAGTCACTCCAGAGCCCAGCTCAGAGTGTGACATTTAGATAGGCAGAATCCAACAGGACTAACATCCCCCTGGTCACAGGTCACCTTTGCCTTCCCACACCAGGGTCCAGGGGTGGAGCAGGCAACTCTGAGAGCAAGAGAGGGTCTGCTGGAACCTACCCACAAGGGATGCGGTGGCCAGGGCTGCTACGCTGTAATTGCTGGAACAGGCTCTGGAGTCAGACAGGTAGCCGTTGGTGGTCTGGAAGCACCTCTGTAGGAAGAGGGGACAGAGTGAGCAGGAGGGGCAGACAGCCAGAGGCCATCCCCCTACGTGACCATCGCTAGCATCCAGCTCACCCCAGCCCCTTGGGTGGTAGGCAGGGAAGGACAAGTGAAGCCACTCCCACAGGGCCATCCCTTCCCTCAGGGCTGACAGGACTGTGAGCCTGAGCTGGGCACGGTAAAAGGAGCAACAATGGTATCAGTTGGGCTGGCTGGAATGGGGACAGGAAGGGCACTGACCTGCCAAGGATCCCAACAGAAATCCATCTGTTTGTCCTAAAGCAAGAGGAGAAAAGGAATCAGGCAAGGGCTGGGCTCACTGTGTCCACAAATGACTGAGTCCTGGAGGCCCTTCTGGTACTCCCAGAGGTCAGGGTCTGCCCACTCCTCAGTCACGCCTTTGTCCCTTGGCATGCAGAAAAGAAGGAGGGGCACGGTGGCACAGGAGAGAGATCACACCAGGCTCGAGTACATCTGCACTATTTCCTAGTGACTTAACATCTCAGAACACCAGCTTCTTCCTCTGGAGAACGGTGATGTGATAACGCCACTAACCTCACAGGTGGAGGTGAAGTGGAAGTGACACAACTCGGGCAGAGTGCCTCGCACAGCATTCAACACATGGTATATGCCTTTAAAAGCAATTATGTCAACTGGTAGGTTCAAGCCATAATCCCTGGAAAAGGGTACACATTATTTACCAGGACTAGCCCTAGCACCATCTTCTTAATCTACCTGGACTGAACATTCTATTCCTTCCATTCTCCAGAGGGTGGGCCAGCTGCTAAGGGGTCAGGGGCTGTGGCAGAACCTGCTGTGTGTAAGGCTGAGTTAGTCTGAGTGGGAAGACCTTCAGGGAGGGTTGTGTTTTCTAGTCAAGCCTGGCGGGTCCCTAGAATTCCAGTCTGTTAGAGAGCTCATCCAGCTAAACACCAAACCTTAGGGGCCCTCTCAGGAGGTACAGCTGAGTTTGGTAGGGGGAAAAGGAGCTCAGAATGGTTTCTGTTCCTTGTGGGTAGCTGTAGGGACATGCCAGGACCCAAGGGACAGGTGGGACAAGGGATGATGAGGGACTAGTTACCTTGCCAGTGACATTGTCTGGAGCAAAGGTTGGTGGGTGGCTGGAGGGTAGATGTGGGTTCAGGAGGTCCGTGCCCTGGGGCATAGGACAGTCCTTGTGGGCACTTGTGAGCAGATCTAGAAATAAGACAATGAGAGAAACTTAGAAAAGCCCAGCCCTAGGCAGAGAATAAGGCAGGAGAAAGAAAAGAGTATCCAAGTAGGAAAGGGGGAGGACAAATGATCTTTGTTTGTAGATGACTTGATTTTATATATTAGAAAAGACTATACCAAAAACTGTCGGACTGATAAACAAATTCAGGAGACAAAAGTCAATTTCCAAAAATCCATGGCTTTATATCCAGGTGCAATAGTACACATCTATAGTCCCAGCTACTCAGGAAGGTGAGATGGGAGGATTACCTGAGCCCAAGACTTACGACCAGCTTGGGCAACATAGAGAGATCACATCTCAAAAAACAAAGGTTGGGGAGGGGTGGCTCAGTGGTAAAGCACATGTCTCGTACACCTGAAGCCTTGGGTTCAGTCCCCAGCACCAAAAATATAAAAATAGTCTTTCATATATCAATAACAAACTTACTGAGAGAGAAACCACATTTACATTTGCTGCAGAAAATAACAAATAAAATACCTGGGACTAAATTTAACCAAGAAAATGAATGATCTCTACAATGGAAATTATAAAGTACCAAAGAAAGAAGTTGGAGAGGACATAAAAAAATGGAAAGATATCCCATGTTCATGGACTAGAAAAAGTAGTACTGTTGAAATATCCATACTACCCAAAGCAAGCTACAGATTCAATTTCTATCAAAATACCAGTGTGGGGTGGGGAATACTCCTAAAATTTGGATGGAACCACAAAAGACCCCACAGAGCGAAAGTAGTCCTGGGAAGGAAGAAGAAAGCTGGAAGCATTACAATACCTGGCTTCAAGCCACCCCACAAAGCTGTAGTAACATCATGGCATGACAGGAGCATCAACACAGACACATAGACCAGTGGAAGAGAACAGAGAGCCCAGAAGTGAATTCGCCATCTAAGGCCACTGAGTCTTGACAAACACCACGAGACTGACATTAGAGAAAGGAAAGTCCCATCAATAAATGGTGCTGGGAATCTGGATAGTCACATGCAGAAGAACGAAAGCAGACCCCTATGTTCCACCATGTAAAGACCCAACTCAAAATGGATCAAAGACCCAAAACCACAAAGCTACTAGAAGGAAACAAGGAAAATGCTTCAGGCCATTGCACCGGGCAATGACTTTTTTGGATATGAACTCAAAAGTCCAGGTAAAAAGAAAAACAGACAAAGGGGATTACATTGAACTAGAAAGCTGCTGCCAGCCAAGGACACAATCAACTTACAGAATGGGAGGAAATATTTGCAAAGTCCTCAGCAGACAAGAGATTCATATCTAGAACACATGAGAGCTGAAACAATGCAACAGAAAAATGGGCAAATGGACAAATGGCCTGAAGAGGCCTCTTGCTGCCTCTCAGGGATTCTCCTGCATCCTCTGTCCTCTCAGTGGCTTCATCCAGTGCCCCTGCACCATCAGGCCATCACGCAAGCATCCTGCCCCTTACACACCTCCTCCTGACCACTGCTCCCCTCCAGCTACCTGCCCCTTCTTCTGCCCCTTCACTGCAATTTTGGAAAGGGCTGTGTACCACCCCTACTTCCTCACTTCCCATTTTCTCCTCCACCCAGGCCACATGGATTTTCATTTGTCAACTGGCTAAGTCCAGTGGTGACTTCTCTAGACTCATCTTCCTTCTGGGAGCTCCAGCAGCACAGGCTTGTTACTCCCCCACCCCCATCCTCCTGAGCCATGCTCCCCTTTCCTCCTCATTCTCACTGGCTGCTCTTGTCCTACCCGCTGGCCTTCCATGCCTCCATCCTGGCCTTCTCCATCCTCTCCCTCCCCAGAATTTCTGTCCAGGTTTTCTGATGCCCACATCCAGCCCCAGCCCGAACTCCCAACTGAACTTCCAATGCTTTCACTGATACCTAGTAGGCATCTCAAGGCCACCTGCCCAGGTTAAAGGAACTCCCAGACCTGGGTTCATCTTCCCTTCTTCCCTTTCCCTGGTTTTAGGAAACAAGGTGACTGCCCACCCAGCTGTACTGACTGAACTCTAGGAGTCTCTCAGAGCCTTGCCTCCTCTGTGCTCCTCAATGCCATCCAAGTAACAGGCTGGTCCTCTGGCTCGCCCTCCTGCATGAATTCCAGATTCATCCATCCCCACCCTCACCATGGCTCCTGGGGTGCAGGCCACCGTCCTCACATACTAGGACAGCACCAGCCCAGGGCTCCTCCCAGCAGAACAGGCCTTTATCTCCCAGGCCAGTGGTGTCGCTGGGGTTGGGATAGAGGGGACGCTCTACCTGGTGCCTCTGGATCCCTTCCTCCTCGTTTCATGCCCCTCCATCTGCTTTACTTCCAACGGGCAGCATATTTGACTTCTAGGAGGACTGCCCTTGGACTGCTGGAGCCCAAAACACAACCATGCAGCACACAAGGATGGGAATATGCTTTGAGGGGATTCTGAGGTCCTGTAAGCATCACAGAGGGATGGCGGGGCCTGCTACCCACCTAAGCTATGGGCAGAGCCTGTCACTCCCAGGCTACATCTGCACAGCATGTCACTGTACTGGATGCTGTAGGCAACTGTAACTTGAGGACAGGTGTCTGTGCATCTAAACTGAAAAGGCACAGTAAAGATGCGGTATGACAGGGAAAGTGGACGCCTGTGTAGGGCACTTAGGAGAACGGAACTCTTAGGACTGGAGGTTGCTCTGGTGAGTCCTTGAATGGAGAGTTAGTGTGAGGGCTGGGACACGACTGTGCAGCAATGAGGACTTCACACACACTGCACTCAGGCTACGCTGAATTTAATTTAAAATGTTTTCTTCCTTTAATAATAAATTAACCTTATGTGGCTTTCTATAACTTTTTTTTTTTCAGATGGGATGTCACTAAGTTGTCCAGGCTGGCCTTGAACTCCTGAACTGAAGTGATCTTCTTGACTTAGGTGGGAATAAAGGCATGTGTCATCATGCCTACTACAAAAGTCTTTTTTACTTTTATTTTTTCATTTACTTTTGGTGGTACTGGGGTTTGAACTCAGGGCCTCATGCTTGCTAGGCAGGGGCTCTACCACTTGAGCCACTCTGCCAGTCCTGCTTTGTGTTGGGTATTTTCAAGCCAGAGCTCAGATAAATAAAAATGACTTGGCCCTTTCTCTCCATCCCTCATACTGGACGTCAACACATTAGAGGACAAAGGGTCCCCAAGAGGGGAAGGGGGTCAGTAGAGCTAAGAGCAGAGTGTGACCTTCAAGTGCGGCCACCCGTGGCTGGAGGGGAGAAGGTGACCGCTTATCTGGATGAGAGATGAACATTTCAGCCAAACTGTGCAGGATTTAGTACGCACAAGAGACTAGAGGGCTCTGGGACCTGCCCAAGGCTGCATGGGTGTGGGGGGAACAGGGCAGAGAGGTCAGAGCCAGGCCATGTGGGGCAGAGACTGTAGAAAAGGAAGGCAGGGTCATGGTGAGCCTCCCTCCCCGCAATAGCCCAGGCAGAAGGAGGTCAGGGCAGAGAGGACAGCACGACCCTGGGTGCTGAGTCTTGTGCCTGTACACTGCAGTGCCCAGCACATCCTGCTCTTTGTCCTGTCCTCACTGTGTGACCCTGAGCCAGTCTCACCCTTCTCTGGGCTCTAGTGTCCATCTCTACAAGGGTAGTGTTCAATGGGCGGGCAAAGTACATTCTTCAGTGGGCCATGCAAACCACTGACCACGTCTACTTTTTAAAAAAGCAAAATCAGCGCCAGTGGCTCAACCCTGTAATCCTAACTACTTGGGAGTCTGAAATTGGGAAGATCACGGTTGGAGGCCAGCCCAAGAAATAGTTTGAGAGACTCCCATCTCCAAAAATAGCCAGAAAAAATAGACTGGAGTCATGGCTCAGGTAGTAGAGTGCTTGCTTTGCAAGTGTGAAGTTCAAACCCCAGTCCCACCAAAAAAAAAAAAGAAAAGAAAGAAAAAGAAAAGTAGATAAAATAGTGCTCATTGGAGCCCACGGCAGAGTGAGGTTGTCTAGTTCGTGAAGCTTCGCAAAGCTTCTGTCTAAACTACATGGTACGTGTATGAGCTCACATGAGTGTGCACACATATGGCAAGAATTTTCCGGGTGTGCACCCTGGGTCATTTGTTCCTGTGGGTCCAGTTGATAAAGTTTGAAAGCTGTGACACAAGTGATAATACATGCTTGTAATCTCAGTGCTGGGAAGGCTGAGGCAAGAGGATTGAAAGTTCCAGGCCAGGCTGGGCTACAAAATGAGACCCTGACTCAAAAACAAAAAACAAACAACAAAACAAAGCCACTGTTAAGCTTTTGAAAATTCTAAAACAGTGTGCAAAACCGGGTCTGCCAAGCTGCAGACAGGGTGGCACTGGCCCAGGCTGTCCCTGAGAACTTTGAGAGGGGTTGGGCTATTTCTAGGGTTCCTGCCCTTCCATGAAGCCACCCAGCAGGGAGCAAGGTGGACATGCAGAGGAGTGAACACTGAGCAGGTGGCAGGTGATACCAAGGCTCAATGGAGAATAGCTTGAACAAGGTTATTCCCTGAGGTGGTGGTGGGCTTGGGGCCTCCTGGCTCCCAGCCATCCCCAGCTGCCTGCTCCCCATTCCAGTTGGAGTGCAGGTGCCTCAGCCAAAGTCGCCTTCTCCCCCTGAGGACTTCAGCCCCTTGATGTCACAGGCTGGTTGCCATGGAGATGTCAGGTAATGAAGCAACCCAGGGTGAAATCACAGGCTGCTCTTAGCCCAGCTGAGACTAAGCCACGTCACTGCCACTGGCAACTGGAAAAACACAGATTTTTGTGTGGGGTGTGGGGTGGGGGCTGGGGGCAAGCTTAGGGGAGCGCCGGTCCCTACTTGAGGGGTGGATCCCTCTCCCAAGGGAACTGTGGGGGATGCCCCCTTTCTTTCCCAGTCACACCCTACTCTGTTGACCTCAAGGTCTGAGGCCTCTTCTTGGACCTGCTCCCTTCCCCCACCTCTGCTGGCCACAGTAGTTGACAGGTCTCTGGTTGCCACGGCAA